ATGGGCGTCACAGTCTGGTACGGCTTTCGTGTCACCAAACATCGGTTCATCCAACTCATGCGAAACCAACGACATCAACGGCGCCAGCAGTGCTGGCCCTCACGACTACGCCGGGAATCTCCGTTGGTGGCTGAGCAGCCCTGCAACGCCACAGTTGCATCGAAAACCGACTACGCGGCAATGATATGTTGTCTATACGACTAGATACATCTCTTGCAGCAGGAATCGGATAGTAATTCACACCCGTCCCTCGTGTCGCATCGCCTTCGATAGCTGGGGAATCCCTAAATGCAGCCCTCATCATCAACAAGCGACTGTCGTGGGCCGTTGAGCCCGCATCTTGAGCACCGGATCATTTGCCATACTTTGCCAAAGGGTCACCGCTTTGGTTTAGTAGCCTCGTGATTCTCATGATGAGTTTCTCACCTTTGATACTGTCCGAGCCACTCTTACTGATATGAACAGCACACACTCCCAACCTTTGAAGTCACCAGCTAGCTTACGCAATGCATCTCGTGCGTCTGCTCTGCGTTATTGTCCATCAACCATCACACATGACCTTACCTGAAGGGCAGACCAATACGACGAGGCGTTGGGTCGAAAGTAGGAGGAAGACGGGCTGATCCGTGCCTAAGTCAGCCGTGCGTTGTCCAAACAGCCCACCGAGCATCTTTAGAGCGAAGCAAAGCGTGATCAAAATTGAAGATGAAGACTTGCGAGGGGGCTCTTCTTTAACAGAATGCATACTGTACTGACAGAAAGGTTATTGTTCAAGCGCGGCGATCAGACCAATCCTGCGGGATTGGCGAGCACGGCGCAAGCTCGCACGCGTCTTGCACGATCTCACCGCCTAACTGTTCTCGGCGGATCTTTACCGAGGCCACTCAGGTGCGAAGCACTACTTAGCGACGCGTCAGACTCAATGCTCGGCACGCCATACTCATCGATCTGTTGCCCAGTAATGAGCATCCTGATGCAGCAAAATCAGACACTTGTTCCCTACCCCCTATTCCCATCTGGACGTCCTCGGAGACACCACGCTGTCTTTCCACCTAGATGGTCGGCTTGACTGGGCAATCAGCACCTACACCCGGTGTCGTTCCTCGCGCGACAAGTTGCTCAACATTGGCGAGCCTTCTAATTCTCTCCGAGTAACGATGTCTACTTTCCGGCTGATCGATACCTACCGATCTCGATCGGCCCGCGCTCTGGAGAATTTAGCGAATGTGCATTTCAGCGTGTCATCCGCTCGGCCGTTATGCTGCATGGATATAAATGCTAGCGGATCGCTGTACTTCTGCAACACTTTCGAACGGATCGAGATGAATCCGGGGTCTCAGGAAGATTCTGATGAAAAACAATAACATTTTCCCCAACGAAAAAGCCGATGATCCCACCGAACTCAATCGTCCATACACACTCGTCCGGCAAGCAGCCCATACGCTTTTGCAACTGCTGGCACTTCAAGGCGTACCGGATGAGCGATTCAACTCAATTGTGGTTGACACGAGGGCCAGAATCTGTGGGACAGCCTGGCAATGCAAGCTGCGTACAAGTAAAGCGTAAGCCGGATGGATTGCAGAGTCATTTACCAAGCAGCCATCGGCGGGCCGAACTCTGCCTCTCCAGGTGAGATGAGGCTTCTGGTTTCGAAGGAAATGGCCTGCTTTCCTGCTCGGTCATATCAATCATTCCCCGAGCTCTGAACTCCCGGGGGTGAGTGCCCTAAAAGCCGCCAATCCCCTGCCATCCTCTCCAAATAGAGCACCGTCTCTAGCGCTGTCGAACATATCAGGGTCCTAATAGAGCTGCCAAAACACGGAAGATGTATCTTTCCACGTGACTACTGATCTTGAAGCACAAGTGCGGCTTATTTCCTCATTGGGGGCCATCTCGATTCTCCTTTATCACGTGACTATAGAGTACTAGCCTCGAACCGGCTGAAGAGAAGTTGATTTTGAGCTTCCAAAATTGCATTCTTATTTTATTGCTGAGCAGAAAATCGCAGAAAATTCTGTGTTGAGTGATGTCAATTCCATCTGGAAAAATGGTTCTGGGTAGGTATGGGAAGCTATGAAGCGAAAGCGATGATGGTGGAAAGGCCTGTTGTGAGAGAGGCGAACACCGGACAGACTCGAAAGATACCTAATGCTTATATCCACATCACGCTGGATGCGCCAGAGACCATGTTGCACATCCATCACGTTCATCCGCCTTGTTCGATGGGCCGTCCAAATTGAATGAGTGGGCGTTTGCGTGGCGTGGATGGGCAGAATTTGCTGTTATTGCGGGGATTTTGTCTCCTTCACCCAGTTCCTGCGACAATGGCATTCCCGGGTCGCTCAAATTGGCCACTTCGCCGACCTCACCAAGTTTCTCTTGCTTTGATGTAGAAATATCATCGTTCTGACCGTGGATAATGCGACATAATATGCCATTCTTCCATCTACCTTGGAAGCTATGAAGAGCAAGCCAGGCCTACACCACGCAAGGCCCCTGGCCGAGGTCGAAAATTATCAGAAGAACAACTTGATGAGATAATCGACTATATCTCATCTTCGAAAGAGACACGACGGATGCTGTACTTAAGGGTTATAGAAGAACTACAGCTCCCTGTTAGTTCTGAGACTCTACGAAGGGCCTTAGCTAGACGTGGATATCATCGATGTAAGGCTGTTCGAAAGCCTCCTTTGTCTGATCGTACACGCGCACTACGTCTAATCTGGGCGCTAGAGCATGTCAATTGGACGCGTGAGCAGTGGGAAAAGATATTATGGACTGATGAGACTGGGTCACATCGATTTATCATCGACGAATCTATGTAACGCGCAAGGCTGGCGAGGAATTTGATGATACATGTGTACGAGATCGAGTTGCTCGTGCACCTGGCTGGATGTTTTGGGACTCATTCTATGGTAATGAGAAAGGCCCTTGTCTATTCTGGGAGAAAGAATGGGGTACTATTACTACTGCTCAATATACAGAGCGAATTGTGCCTCTTATCGACGGTATGGTTTCGCTAGCTCGCAATTAATTTAATCAACATCTAATTGTAATGCAAGACGGCGCACTATCTCATCGAAATCTCTTGACAATTGAGGATCTTCACGAACGTAGGATATACCCTATCGATTGGCCACCGTATTCGCCAGATCTTAATCTAATTGAGAAGGTTTGGGATTGGATGAAGGATTGGATCGGTGATCGATATTTGAAGAATTATGATCGTAAGCTATCTTATGATCAGCTACGCGAGGCTGTGCGAGCTGCATGGGATACGATTCCTAGAAGCTTTTTAAGCCAGCAGATTGATCTCATGCAGAAGCGCTGCCAGGCTGTTATCGATGCGCAGGGGGGCATACGCTTTACTAAGCAGTAATACTGTATCATAGTTGTTTAATTACATGAAGTCGTAATAAAAGGGTGGCAGAATATTAGTCATGAGAAAAGGGTGGAAGTACCACGCTAACATTATCAATGGTGTCAACCTGCGTAGATAGGAAGGTAAGCAGGGCTTAAAGAAAGTTTCTCAATACGACGAGCATATATCAAACAGAACCTATCTCCAGATAAAGAAGTTAGAAACTAGAGTAAATTAATAAATTAGATCCAAGCGCCCAGTTAGTACCCAGAAGCCTCGAGAGCCAATCGTGTGGGGGGATGAGCCGCTGTGCTTAGCCCCGCAAGGTATTGCCAGGAATGGTTGGCGAACAAGGCACCCCCATTTTTGCACAGCCATGCTGACTGGGAAGGGTAGTGCGTCGGGCTGAAAACGAAGGCGGAGGCAACGAGTGCAAGATAGATCGTTGAAGGGAGTGGGGAACAAGAATGAAGAGGTCGGTGACACGAATGAGGGGTTACGTGACGGTTTATTGAGGCGCTATCCTGGGAACAGGAAGGACGTGCAAAAGGGCATCTTAAACGATCAGTGGTCCATCATTGTTTCGAATGCATCGGCCTTGCTTTGTGGCAAGCTTAATGTGGGGATTGACTAAGCTTGTGCGCAGCTGCGTAACCTCATTATGGCAGTTATCCTCTAAAAGAAGCCCGTGGCAAACCAGACTGTTGTAATTAACTGATAGTCAATGGTAGCCATGACAGGAATCCCGCACAAATATCTCTTTGGCCCACACAAACAGTGCGGTGTGATGAAATGTAGAGGCTCACCCAGTATGCTAAGCTGGACGGACTTGGAGATCGCGACTACCAGCTCAGTTCGAGTTGAGGTGGCCGGTTGTGTCAGGTTTGCCCTCGAGCACTTTCGTGGCCGCGACTCATTGGTTGACAGAGGATGGTGGAAAAGCGACGCGGATACAGGTTCAAAACGCGCCTTGCGTTGCCCAGCAACGTCTCCCATCCAATAACTTTGGCCTTGGTGGGAACCCCGCCTTTGCAACAATTGGCCCGATATTTGAGAGAGAAATTCGGGAGAAACGTGCTGCGTTCGTGTGACTTTCACCTTCCGCCTACCATTTGCGGACGATGGACATGCCAAGGCACGAATGGTGCAGGGGTGAATATATGTGCAGGATCATGTGAGCACTGATTTCCGTTTTCGTCATCTCGCGAGAGGAAATTCTATACACAGTAGGTCCAAAGCACGATTCACGGTTTTGTGATTGACGAGGGTTACAGTGGCGCTACTAAAGTCTGTGACCCCCCTGCGCTGACCGCCCTTTTCTGCCATGAATTCTGCCGTACCAAACCCTCCAAAAATCGTATTCAATAGCTAAAATGAAGGAATAGACACTGGCAAACCTCTTGTGCGAGGTTTAAAATAGTTGGTGGTCAAGATATTAAACCCAATGCTATACGTAACTACGCGTTTAGATGGTTGGGTAGGCTATGATAGGAAGCGGTAGCACTGGCGGTCAAGCCGGTGGTCACAGACTTTAGTAGCGCCACTGTACGTGTTCAGAGCGGCTAATAATACGACGGTAACGGAAGATCATTTGGTGGGATCATTTGGTGGGATCATTTGGTGGGAAAAATCTTTAAAGGTGGACAGAGCCTGACCGCCCCCTCTCCTCGTTATTGTTTCGCCAGCCGCTGGGCCCACGTCTGATCATCATCAGTCAGGCGCTTATCCTGGGCCCTTGCAAGTAGCCTTGGTTTTGAGAACCCTACGATTCATGGTCTTCAGATATAAAGTTCTTTCATTCTCCCGTCACAATGTTCAAAGCAAGCATCTTCTCACCTGTTTGACAATGGCTGAACCGATCGGCTTGGCCTCTGGCCTGCTCGCCTTGACAACGTTTGCATTCCAGTGTAGCGTTTCGCTCTATGCGACCTTCAAAAGCTTCCAGTCTCGCCAGAAGCGTGTACGCGATCTATTGGAGGAACTTGAGGCACTCAGTGCCGTGCTTTCTTCACTTGTCGCTTTGATCCAAGAAAACTCACACATAAATATCTCGTCTTTGGAGCTGCCTCTCCTGCGCTGTGGCAATACTTGTCAAGAGTTTGAAGAAGTTCTTCTTCAATGCTCATCACGTTCGGGTGGCAGTCGAACGAGCTTTCGTGGCTGGGCCAACCTGAAATACATGGGGGACGATATCGACGGTTTCCGAAACCTGCTGGCAGGGTACAAAGCCACTATTAATATTGCTCTCACTGACATAACTCTGTAAGTATGAAGGTGGATCCTATACTCTGATGTGACTGTATTTCGTATTGCTGCTACCGTTCGTTATGGCTAATTGAATCATCATCAGACGTCAATCCTCGGCGACTGCCGAAGATCTCAGGGAGTACAAAGAACTTATACAAGATGCCAAGGAGGACCTCGAGGCCCGGCTGGAGAGTATTGACTCAAAGCTTGCAAGTGTAATTGGGAAAGAGCTGGCACCGTCTGATCCAGATGCTGCTGAGCTGCGATCGCTACAAGTTGAGCGCTTGAGCACCGAAAAATGCCTCCAGATCTGTGCCCAGCTTTCTGATCACATAAGCCATATCCACATCGTTTCGGACCGAGTTGGCGCCTCGACTGCCTCCAGTGGTGCAGGTACTTCGCCGGAAGGTGTAACTAGCCAAGGACTCGAGGAATGCAAAAGCAGCTTGGCCGCAACAGCTGCCAAGCTGGAAAAGCACATGCAGGAAGTGATGGAACGACTGCTCGCAAAATCGAAGAAGGCCGTCTCGTCCGAGGAAGAGTCTCGAGATCTGGAAAGGCTGCACGACGAGTGGGAGACCGCGCGGCAGTGCTTGAGCATCTGCTCCAAAGCCGACGATCACTGGAAGGAAAAAGTGAGTGTCATTGAAAATCATGGCTCGGGTGATGCTCTTCAGTTCATGGTTTCCGCCAATGGAAAGGTTCTCCACGGAAAGAATCGTGCGACTGGGTGGAGATCGAGGCAGGTGGGAGGCTACATGAGCGATGAATCCATTCAGCAGCTATCGCGGGATATTGTGACTTTCAATTTAAGCCACCTGAGACCCGAAGTGCCGAATTTGAAAAAGAACTCAGATGAGCCTTCCCCAAGTCAGGATGACAGTGTGGAGCGCGAAATGTCAGCAGAATTCAGACAACGGTATGGACATGGGTTCAAGCTCAGTTCAGGGACTTCATCAGAGGCAAACGCCTCGTCTCCTGGACCGGATGGTGGAAGGGCGTAGTTCCAATGGGTACTATAATCATTCAGCACTGTTGCTTTTGAAATCGAAACCATATGGGGCACGCGCAGGAGAGGGCTCCAGAACATTCCTTATGCCTTTTACGTGATTTTAGTCTATCTTATACAGCTAGTCCGAGCATCAGACAGAGTCCAACACACGCTTCCATGCTGATGTCTTGAGCATTTCAATGGAAGGACGAAAATACAGTGGATAACTCATGAGGATTCGCGAAGGCCTCAGGAGTTAAGACTATTAGAAGAAATAGAACCGAAGTTTTCGAATGTGGTTTTTCTGAACTGCGAACTTGGAATCATGCTTGAACTTTAGGAGTAGGAGTAGGCCCTCGATCACACCTTAGGGAGGGGGAAGCGGGGCGGCGCTTGTAAGTTGTGGTTTTCTGGAAGGCTGATTGGACACTGGTATTCCGCGGTTTGGAACCGCGAACCCTTAGCCTTCTGATCTGATCTTGGAAAGTCTAGTATTGCTCTAGCCTCTGGCGACTAGATACCTGAATTTGGGAGCTTCTACTTCTGCGTCCGGCGATGAATAGGAAGATGGGTGTTGCCATAACATTGAAAAAATCGTCGTGGCTTCTTTGCCTTCTTGATGTAGTTTTCGGCTTTCACAAGAAGAATATCCTGCTGCGAAGGCTCCGGAGAGCTGCAATCCACCGCATACACCGGTATTTGTCGTTCATCAGCCACAAGATGCACGCAGAACTGGTCGGCACGCCGATTGCGTCTTCGTGCAGTGCCATCCCTCTTCTGTCTCTGTGCCGCTCCACTTCCCCCTCCTCTGCGTCTTCCATGTCTAGTGTTCGTCGGTCGTTGGGGTGTCCGCGCGTCCTAGAGGTTCATTTGCTCCAGGCTGTTCTCCAGCGAGGTTTCCGATGGGTTTGCGCGATCGTAGAAGGTGACTCAGCCTTGGATTTGTCGAAGGGGTTCATCGTCTCGCAAAGCCTTAATGACCTTTTCGACAAAGTTATCCACCGTGTCTCGCTCAAAATTCCGAAGTGACGCTTCCGAATAGATCGATCCGTTCTGGATATTCGTAACAACATAATCGATTTGGGTATCAGAAGGGAATAGCGAGCGCGAGGTAAACGCAGCGGTGCGGTCGAATTTCTCCCAGACTTGTTCCTGTAGTTGCGGAAAGTCAAGCCAAGGGATGATGTACTAGGGGTAGAGTCGGTTTACTGGGTCGGTCGCGTCGCCCTGGGTCGTGAGGGTCGCATCCGTCTCAACTTGGATTGCTTGGGACAGAATTGTGGCAGCGATCAAGGAGGCGCAATAGTGTGTTGGGTTGCAGTTGGCCTTCTGCCTCTTCTCGCGCCTTTCTCTCTACTTCTCGCGCCTGCCTCTCTTCTTCAAGTTGACGTCGTAGCTCGGCGATTGTTTTCCATCCCTTGTCGAAACCAGTTTCAGCAGATGATCAAATGACCCAGAATCGAAGTCAACGGAGCAAAGCGGCCGACGTATCGTGGAACGCGCTGTTACAGGGGAATGCGCGTCGGGATGTTTACCAGCTTACTCACCCTGTGGGTCGAGATGTGTGCTGTCTCAGGCACTAACACGGTTTGGCCTTTCGTGCTGACCTCAGTCACTGGTTCCAGACTAGACGTCGATTCAATCGTGTTAATCGTGTTACCTAGACTGGCCTCGTCAGTGACTTCGAGTTCTTCTTTGAGCAATTCATTAAGTGCGGTCACCTTGTAGAGGACCATTATCTCAGGCTTTCCGTTACCCAGTCAAAAATGCGCCCTATATAAGATATTGGTGGTTTGACCAGTCACGATCAATGGACAAAGATACTGCTCTTGGGAGGTTGTTTCCTAGGTGAATCAGGGATGTTTAATGTATTTAATATACATCAAAAACAGCAGCGGAGGTAGCTTATAGCTCTCGTAATTCTTCTTCAGTAAACAGAAGATCAAGCGAATTGAGTGCAGAGTCCAACTCGTCAATATCAAGACCAGCGGCAAATAATGGGCTCATTTGAAGTTGGTGTTGCATGATGGAGAGTGATCTTTCGTTCTGGGCTAGATGCACTGAAAGTGGCAAATAATCTACGTGAACAGACACGCTGGCACAGGCAATAATAAAGCTCAATAGTCCGCCGATCGGACGACGGAGGTCTCTGGCGCTCTCGATCTGCAAGACATCAAGGCACTCTGCGGATATTTGTTTCAAACGCCATAGGATGTACTGCGCTTGGGCGTGTAGGTCATCAAGTGAGATTCCAGAATAGCCATTTGCTGGAATATCAATTTCCGTGTTGTCACTGCCTAAGGCTCCCATAGTGGACAAGATCTTCGCGAGGGTCGCTTGGTCAATTCTGGGTTCCCAATCATTCTCATCCCGTTGAATGTATTCATCCAACAGTCTCTTGTTCTCATCCAGATCTGAAACAGTTGATGAGATCAACGCATAGCTCATGATGCAGAGCAATTGCTTAAACTCTAGGCGCTCCGACAGGCGGTAAGTGTCATAATGACAACTCCCATCCGTGGATATCATTGTAGATTAAGAATGAGAATGAAAAAGCGTCCACGAATTGAAAAATCGCTAGAAGCAAAGTCAAGCGAAGAGGCCAGGTTGAAGATTGATCTAGTTGGAGTGTCTCGCAAACATGGGAGATTATCTGGGCTACCTACCTGCATCCCTTTATTATAAGAGAGACAGTCCAAAAAGGATAAGCGAGGTACAATTTCACTGAGAGATCGTCTCGATGTATAAAAGGTAATTGTGTTGCCGATCGCTCATCTACAGAACAAGCGGTGAAAGATGGAGAGAGATCATTACCGAAGCTTTCAATTTCATATTGCCTGTCTTTAACTGGCTTCAACTATGTGCCCTTGCCGCAGAGCAAGTTCAACGGCTTTGACGAGAAAATAAAAGTGTGTGACCTCCTCCACTGGCGGCTAGCTGTTGCCAGTTTTTGTGGCGAGGAATTTGCGCTCTTCAACACCTGGATAAGAAGCCCACTCAAGGTTTCGTGACCCAAAATCGTTCAAGTCTCAGTGATGGCGATTGTTTGAAGTACAATACAAGAAGAATTGTCTATATTGGTACACGATAGAGAATGGTTGGTCCAAATCGAGTTAAGCCCGATCATCTGAAGTGCTGTGGTACAAATGGTCCAGTTCCCCCGAAGGTTTCACTTGCTTCATTCGTGGCGAAAAAGGATGCAGACTGTTGAGACCTGATAATGATAAGAAGAAGTACTCAAATCCGAACGTGATAAGTACAGGGGGTTTCGAAAACAGATTACCCGCCAAGACACACTGGCTTTCTTTCCCGAAGACCCACTAGCGGGCTAGGCCCAGATCGCCTTAAGATCCCCGCGCCCCGTAACCAATCATACCAATAACTACCCGTTGTGGAGACCAATCACTAGTTATTTGAGGATTAGCGTCGCCGTAAGTGGGGCGCTGGGAAAGAAAGTGTGTGTGTCTGGGGTGTTTTCCAAATCCCCTGTACCTCTACACTCGCACACTCCTTGGACTCGTAATTCACGCGACCGGCATTTTCTTTTCGGCAACCCCTCGGCAGTCTCCTCTTCTCTCCTCGCAAGGGCTGTATTCCAGCTGATGGCGGCAGGTTCTCTGGTTCAACAGTGAATGCACTCGTGCTGTAGTTTGCGACGATCCACAAGATATTTCGTGCTCGAAGGAACATGGTCGCAAATAAACACCCTTAAGGCTTTACAGATTTTCTTCTCCCTGGACAACTGACTTTTTCTTTCTTCTCTCGCTTCGCAAGTAGAACCGCCGCCGCCGTCTTCTGTTTTTTGGTCGCTGCAGACCGCCTTAAGAGAGTCACATAACACCGCCACGCGAAGAACACATACTTAGGATCCTCGCTGTTTGAGACATTGCCGTCTCGCGGAAGCTCGCGAGCCCATCATGTCGTCGGCTGTAGCGGAGCTGGATAGCTACCTTCGGTCCATGCTGGCTCTGAAGCCTCCCGGGGTTAGAGGCTCCAAGGTTCACAGTATTACCAGACTGTGCACCGCCAATGTTCAAGTACGCCACGTTCCCTACTCCTGAGATATTTGATTGTTGAGATGGTTGAGGCTGTTAAGGTCGCTGAGATGAAGTTGATGAGAGGCTAACCCTGCACCTCAGGATGAACCCGTTCTCATCCAAAAAATCTACACTCACTTCAAGAAGGCCCCCGCCACCCACAAGCTGGGCGTTCTCTATGTGGTCGACTCTATAACCCGGCATTGGGTAGACGCCACTCGTAAGGCTGGCCGGCCTCCACGAAGCGCCGCGCCGGATAGGACCTTCGCTGGTGGCGTCGATCGAGTGACCAAGTTGTTGCCCGTGTTGATGACCGACATCATCAACAATGCCCCGCAAGATCAAAAGGTACGCATACACTTAGCGCGAATGCTCAGGATGGGGCTGGACCTCTGGGTGCGAATCGCGTCCAATGGCCGTATTCTCCCGCGACCGCTCAACCTTGGACGTGATGTCGGCATTTTTTTGCGCTTTTATTGCTCTGGCGGATCTTATTACTCACGTATGCCTTTCTGGACGCTGTAGGAAAAGATCAAGAAGCTCGTCGACATCTGGGAGTGCGGCTGCTCCTTCCCGCCCTCTATGCTCACCTCATTCCGCGAGAAACTGAACACTCCGACACATAGTAAGTGTCCACCCTCGGATCTTTGCTCTTCTCGTCTTCTGATTCAATCGCTTCTACCATAGTTCATAGATGTTCAGGCCACCATGCCAAAAGGCTCACCGGCCCTCAGCTTCAATCCTTTGGAAGCCCCAGCTCTGCTGCAAAGTACCAATAGCTCGCCGGCGGCGGCAACAGATACCACCAGTATACTCAAACCGCTGACCGATATAGCTAAACGGAGCACGGTGACGTCCGCTTCTCCCACCAACCCGCTCGCTACCCTAACCCCAGCAGGCGCGGCTCTGCATCTCGCTTCATCTGTCGATTCGTCTCTACTGTCACCCTGGACGGCTAACCCATACACAGGTGCTGGTGCTGGCGCCATGGCCAATCCATTTGCCGCTCCTGGTGGCCTTGGCCAGAACCCTGCCATGCCGCAGCCGCAGGGCCAGAGCCAGACCCCGAACCCATTGGAAGCAATGCTTCCGCAGTGGCCAGCCGCCGCTCCGGCGATGGATGGAAACGCGATGTCCCGGCAGCTTCCGCTGCTGCAATTACTGTCGCAGCAGGGCATCTCGCAGGACCAGTGGGCTGCGGCCCTGCAACTCGTCAACATAACCGATACCCTGGGTGCTGCCAACCCCCCTCAAATTCCTGGCTTTGGCGCGATACCCTGCCAGGGCTCTGGTGGCAGGGGCCATCCTGATATGCAGAACCGTGTCGATCGTGATCGCAGGAGGGATCGTGACCACTCTAGCTCTCCTCCCGGTGGGTATGGCCGTCCTTCTGGCTCTCCTGGTTGGGACCGACGTCACTCCGCCTCGCCGCCTCGCCGCCACGACAGGCCGGTGCACGACGAGTATTACGGTGAATCTCCTGGGCGCCGGGGTGATCCTCGCGATACTCGTGGTCGTCGGGGTAACGAATACCGTAAACGTAGCCCGCCGGGCTGGAAACGCCGGGCTCATTCCCTGCTGCGGAAAGACCTTAATCTCCCCTCGCCTGGTCCCAAGCACGTCGAGAGGGACTATTCCATCGGCCCGGGTAACATCAAGGTTCTGAGCCGCACCCTCTTTGTCAGTGGCATCTCCTCCGAGGATCACCTCCGTTCGCTCTTCAACAAGTTCGGCGTCGTTCAGACCTATATTGTCAACATTGACAAGCGTCATGCTTTCATTAAGATGATTAGCCGCCACGACGCGGTGAGCGCTTGCGAAGGAGTAGAGTCATTCCGTTCAGGCGAGATACAACTCCGCACCCGATGGGGCGTTGGTTTCGGCCCGCGTGACTGCAGCGACTATCAGACTGGCATCAGTGTCATTCCAATCGAGCGACTCACCAATGCGGATCGCAAATGGCTGCTCACGGCGGAGTATGGTGGCACCGGAGGTCGCCCCATTGAGTCCGGAATGGTTGTCGAGGAGCCAGACATCGAAATTGGTGCTGGCCTCTCATCCAAGGCGATCAGTCGACGCATTGCGGCTAGCACTAAGCGTGGCCGGAACTCAGACGGCTTTGGCGGCGGTCGCGGCGGACGTCCAGACCGTAATGGTTTTGGCAGTCCCAGCCAAGGCCGCCTTCGCCGCAATTGACAAGTAGGATCATCAACTTGAAGCTGATTGGCAATTGACATGGCGTTTGTCACTATCTCGGAGCACCACATTTTTTCTGAGAGTACTCTCTCGCGAACAATACCTCATAGGTATTGGCCGTTGGGTGGTGCTTTTAGATGCTGGGGAGTGGCAGCTCCAAATCAAGGGCAGCTAGTTGCTCATTGTTGGTGTTCGAAAGATTTTGCCCAGAGACTTCCCCCGACGCGTGGAGCGAAATATACATTATTCAAGACCGTAGGTTGGTTGAACTTCCCCTGGAGTGTAAGCTTCGCCGTTTCGATCTTGTCACTTGACCGCCCGCCTGGTCCTATATCCCGTGGTGGGATTGCAGGCTGCTGAAGCAGTTCCGGCCCAAATAAGTGTGACTGGTGGCGGTGGAATCCGGCGTCTTTGGCGGTTGTGGTGTTGGTTTGGGGTGTAGAGGGGGGTAAAGGGGCGTCCCCCTCGCCATCACGATATCGATCCTCGGCCTTTTGGAAGTCGGCGGGCTCTTCTGTTCTTCCTCTTGGCTTGGTGGTATGGCTTGCATTGAATTTTTTGGTGGACCGGAAGCACCCCGCTCATCCTTGATGGCGTGCTCCGCGTGCGGATGCAACCGCGGTCACGCGAAGCTAGGCGAACAGCTCGCCGAACGTGGCTAGCTCCATGTGTTGGTACCGTTCTTCCAATTCATTCCACACTGCCAGTCATTAGCTAGGGGATTGGAAGAGTTGACTCACGACTGACATGTTCTAGGTGGTAAGAAATGATCCTGGCCGAGCAAGTGGGGTTGAGAACGGTGTCCCAAAGGGTAGCCACGCCAATCCGCTAACGCCTCGTCCGAGGCGTGAAGCGACATTGACAGACGGTAGACTCAACCCGAAGGATCTAGAAGTCGGCTGCACAGATCTCGACTGCCGTCAGGTCCATAGGATCTGTCGGTGGGACGAGGTCCAGATCCCTCTGTTGGCATGGATTAGGCTTCGAAATCGGACCGAGCCGCTTTGCACAGTCCGTTATGACACCCGTCACGCACCGTGGTGGACATGCCTTAGGTACGCGGGGATCGATAGTTCCTTGGATAAGCCGGCATATCCAGCTTCTGAGTCTGGTGATCGATAATGAGGGCCTCCATTCCTGCCCGCGATTTCGTCACGCGCAGCCGAAGCATTCATACGCTCAGTTCTCACATTCCTGGAGGATCGAGTTACCGGAAGGACTTTTGGCGGATGCTTGTCGATACATCTTATTGTGTTCCCATGCCTGGCGGGCAGCATTGACGTTCATTTGACCGGCGTGGTGTCAACCTCACGGTGTTGCCTTACGTGACCAGGACAGGCGGCTGGATCGCGAACCAACGAATAGACCTCTTCCATTTAGTGACCGCGATGAACAGTTCCATTGTCCCCTAGCCTACTAGAGGCGGCTGTCGTGATCCATTCTGTTGCCTCGATTTGAGCAGAACCAGGTGCCGAACCACCCGAATTCTAAACGCTTTACCCCTCTTTTCAACCATGCCATAGAAGTCTCGTTCCAGTAGCTCGTTCTTATCAAAGATCTTCTCGATGGATTGCCCCTGAACGCTTTCTCGGTCAAAGACAATGATTCCGACTGTGTTTTGGCCGTTGGTGTTGTTACCCGATTCGTGTAACAACAACTCGTGTTGATGCGGGCTCAGCCGACCCCGAGTATTCGAACCAGGTGCCATACTCGGTCTTCGTGACGCTAGTGGAAGCCACTGCACATCCTGCGTAGCGGCCGCATTCGATGAGGCTGTTCGGATGCGACTGTTTGCTGGAGCAAGGACTAAAGGAGGTACCGGCCGAAGGCATTCTTATCCTCGTCTTCACTGTTTCGGAGATAAACGGAGGAAATCGAACACAGTCGCGGTCTTTGCCAAGTCGCCGGTGGCTCACCGCAGTCCGAGATTCGCAGAGCTGGCTCCCACAGCGGCCAGCGATCGCGAGAAGGAAGAAGTAGGGGAAGCCCGTCGATCTGCTTCCGATGCGCTCACACTTCTTCTTCCGCTTGCCATTGACAGTTTTGAAGGCGTGCTATTCGTGTTTGACCCCAGTTCTGATTTTGCGGGTTCTATGACGGGGCTTCGAGTGGTGTTGTCGACGAGCCATCGTAGCTGCTTGGTGGTGATCTGCACACTATTGTCTCCATAGCGCGGGATCCTCCTTTTGCGAATGGTGCGAGAAACGATTGACGGTTCGAAGTTCATTGAAAATGGTTTGTCGTTGCGTTGGAGTGTGTGGGAGCGCTCCGGGACTCACATCGGGATCCGCCATCGGTCCGCCGTATGTACGCTGTCGGGGCAACTCGGAAAATAACAAATTATATCAACCGTCACGTCTCTGATTCGACCACGACCGCATTTCTTTGTTGTTTCCCTATTTCGGTCGGTCAGCTGACTGCAGTGTGGTTTCAGATCATGGGACTCTTAGTGGCTTCAAACAATTCACAAACCGTGGCGAGGTCTATCCCGGTCCCGTTCATGGAGCACATTCCCGGTCGCAGGGTTTCACAATTGGTAGAACGGGTAGTGCGATGGTTCCTAATACTACCAGTGCCGCCAGCCGGAAAATATCGTGTAAGCTTCACCTTTGCGATATGATCATTCATCGTGGTATACTCGAACGCTTGCGATGTCTGACGCACAACTCATGATTTGCTGCCAGTCATTAACCCGTGTCTTGGAGGACAGGAGGGGTTGACAGACTTTTTTTTAGTGGCAATCGGGAATTGGGAGTTCCACATGCAATGCACTTGTGTATTCAGGCCATATGCACCCAATTCTAGGCAGCACAAAGAGTCTTCGGGGTTAGTGTCAGCCATGGCAAGAGGAACGAGGCACATACCCGTAACATGGTCACGTTTTGCACCGTTGACAGTGAGGGCAGGTCTTGACAGCGAAGGGGTCAACTTGATTGGGCAGCCATACCATTCCAATAAACGGGATTTGTCAAGGAGCCCGAGTTTCTTCTCGTTGGCTTTCTCGGCTCAAACAGGACAATGCGAGTCAATAACAGGACGGTCAATGAAGAGGAAAAGCGTATCTTCGGGCGGGAGTGTCAAAGGTACTGACTGACTCTCATCCGCCAATAAGGTGCTCTGTCTGTGTCAGCATAATGGAAGAGTCAAGGGGGGATTAATAGCGGAAGGAGAACTTATCGCCAGTTCGCTGATAGTGTCTAGCTCTGTTAAGTCCGAACGACTAGAGTAAAGGACTGGAGGAGTAGAGAGTATTTATAGATATCTCGACTTGTCCTGTCCCTCATATGGTTATTAGCACCGGTTGACTTTTACTAGCAGTGGTAACCGTTATCATAATTGTGAGTGTAGCTGTCTAAATCTGCGGCCCGTTGAAAATCATGTTTACGTTCAATATTCGTTAATTTGAGTAGCACTTAGAATGCCAACTTGAGACTGTCACCAGAGAAGTCAAGCCCATGTAGTGTAGAAATAGCCGTGATGAGTTTATGGACATGGCATCGTTTAAAAAAGCGTTGACTGACGAATAAATTTTCAGCGGGATTCTAGGTTAAGACCTCGAAATACCTCTACGATTAGACTATGATCAATGAAAATTTTGGAGCCTCAGGGTTTACCCGATTCTTTCTGTTCACAGTTCAAACTTGACTCAACAGTCACGTTTTCAAGCACCGAGAAATAACCCCTAATTCGATTACTTGAACCTATAAGCGTGGACTTTTCGGCCTGCCAGCATAAACAAAGGCCCTTGCTTTACTATAGACCCAACGCTGAACTTATCACCGACGCTAGAATAAGCTAAGCGTAGCTAACACAAGGTTGCGGACCTATTTTAGAAAATCTGTCGGCCTGTATTCCAGTACGTAAATAGATATCGGTGATGCGTATAACCGTTGAAGCTGGTGAATAACAGTGACGAAATATTTCCAGTTAATGTATTGGTGTGGTCAAAATGGAACTAACTAGTACTGTAATGCTATCCAGGCGGCCTACTAAATATCCCAGGAATTTTCTTCTCGCTAGGCATTTCTCAGACTTTATTTGCACTTTTTAACGTTTATTTCAACGACTGTAGAAGGTGATTCACCGTAAACATCCTTAAGATATGAGGCAGTTACCAATATGGATCCAAGGGGGCGCCCCGCCTAGATCGACTCACGCCATGGTTCGAAGTGGGGCGCTTTGTGAGATTAGCCGCAAACTCTAGATCGCATACTTCAACAGATGTTGAATCACCTCAACTGGCGGCAAAAATGAAATATTTTCTGCGGAACTACAGCATAGTCCATCATCTCTCCCATAAATCTGCATACCTAGCCGCTACGAGCGGCCGAAGGCGAAAAGGCATGAAAAGTTTTCGTAAGTACAGTACAATTCATCGGCTGTGAAGACTGGACATTCACTGGGGATGGCTTAACGTTGATATTTGCAAGCCTCCTAGCTAGCAGAGCTCTACTTTCAACTCAAATCTCCACCTCCAGCCATTCTTAGGGAATGAACGAATGTAGCACTACGCGAGTGAGTAGCCACTGATAAATTTCCTGTCGGCATGTTTTTAAATGGCAGATGGGACCTTCCCCTCAATCTATTTCAGAAAATCCTCTTTTTTGACGGCCCCTTATCCTCGACTATATCAGAGTTCCTTTATTGACAATGGCGTAGTATGACAGGAAAGCCGCTGAACGTCGCTGCCGCAAACTTTTCAGGGATTACAAAAAATGGTTTAATAGTTTGGAGGGAAATCCCTACTCCTTAGACCCTGCGGGCTCCTCGAAACCTGCGGGCTCATCGAAACCTACGCGCTCATCTTATACGAAGCTGGGATCCACCCCCACAGAACATGGTCGCGCATCGTCTCCAGCTGTAAAGCCTGAGAGCAGACGCAATCGGAGGGTTCGGTTTGAGCCTATTGAAAGAATCCAGACGCCAGAACCGACTCAATTCAGTCGGAATAATCAGGCTCAGTCTGTAAGCAGTCAGTGAGTGCCTTTTTGCGCTATACG